CAATCTCCTCTCGCTCGCACCATCTTGAAACTGCCGACCCAAGGTTTTGCAAACCGACCTCGCTTAACCGTCATCCTCCCTGTCCGCCCCATCAGCCCATCCGCCAACCCGCCAATCCGCGCGCAACTCCGCCTTCTTCCCACGCCCATCCGGCCCATCCGCCCTTCTTCCCTTCCGCGCTTTCCCCATCCGACCCATCCGTTCATCCTCCCTTACTTCCCCCGTCGCCCATCCGCCCAATTCGACCTTCCCCCCGTCCGCCCATTCCCCCCCTCTCCCCTCTCCCCTGCCCGCAGCACGAGCATGGCGGTGGCGGGGAGCGACTTCGCGATAGTGGCGGGCGACACGCGCCTCTCCACGGGCTACAGCATCTACACGCGCTCCGCCTCCAAGATCTTCCGCATGTCAGCCCCGCCCCCGCGGCCCCCCTCTCCCCCCGCCCCTATCGCTCTCCCGCCCCCTATTGCTCCCCCCGCCCACACCCACCCCTGCTCCTATTGCCCCCTCGCCCCCCCGCCCCTGTCTCTCTCCCCATCCATCCCCTTCTCGCCGCTCCTATTGCTCCTCCGCCCACGTCGCCCTTATCGCCCCCCTCTCTCTTTCCTACCTTCCTCAATCCTCTCTCCCCCTCACTCCCTGCTCGCCTGCTGGTCTGTTCCCACAGCTACTCCTTTTTCCAACCGTGCGTCGCTGTGCGGTGGCAGATTGGAATTCAGCCTCTCCCCTTCCCTTCCCTGCCTTTCTCGCCTCTCTGCTTCCCTTCTTGCCCCCCTTTCCTTCTTGCCCCCCTTCTCTTCTCCCCCTCCCCCGCTTATTCCCCCCTCTCTCTCCGCGCGCCCATGCCCCGCAGCTCGGACCGGTGTGTGCTGGTGAGCTCGGGCTTCCAGGCGGACCGGCGCATGCTGCAGAAGGTGCTGCACCAGCGGCATGAGGTGCGCATTAGAATGGGGGGGGAGGGGAGGGTAAGCGGGCATGGGGGGCTGGGGGTCAGTGGCTGGGCTTCCAGGCGGACCGGCGCATGCTGCAGAAGGTGCTGCACCAGCGCCACGAGGTGAGCATAGAGTGGGGGGGGGGAGGGTAGCGTGCATAGGGGGCATGGGGTGGATAGTCGCATGCTGCAGAAGGTGCTGCACCAGCGGCACGAGGTGAGCATTAGAATGGGGGGAGAGGGGAGGGTAAGCGGGCATGGCGGGCATGGCGGGCATGGGGTGGATAGTCGCATGCTGCAGAAGGTGCTGCACCAGCGGCACGAGGTGCGCATTAGAATGGGGGGGGCGGGAGGGTAAGCGGGCATGGGGTGGAGTGCGCAGGTTGATGCTGCAGAAGGTGCTGCACCAACGGCACGAGGTGCGCATGGGGGGACGGACATGTGGGGAGCGGGCATGGTGGGGCGGACATGGGTGGTCGGACATGGGGGTCGGGAAGGGCATGGGGGGCGGGCAGCAGGGGCTGGGCATGGGGTGGAAAGGTTGATGCTGCAGAAAGTGCTGCACTTGTACTGCACCATGAGGTGCGCGTGGTGTGCGGTGGGTGGGGAGGCATGTTAGGGAGGAGAGGGCAGGCATGGCAACGATGGGTGCTCCACTCCCGACATGGGCGGGCATGGGGGCAAGCATGGGGGGCGGAGGCTGGTGATACTACAGAGGCTGCTTGCTGCGTGCCAGTGGGGCACACGAGTCCCCTGAATCTGGGCTTTGCGGGGTGCAAGGAAACATCTTCCAGACCTGACTTTGCTTATACCTCCCTCATTTTCCCTCAACCCCCAACCCCAACACTCCCCGCCCTGTTACCCCTCTCCCCTCCTCCGCCCTGCGTGTGGCAGGTGTACCAGCAGCAGCACAACGAGGAGATGGGGTGCGAGGCGATGGCACAGCTGCTAGCGAACACGCTCTACTACAAGCGCTTCTTCCCCTACTACACCTTCAACGCCCTCGCTGGATTGGATGCTAACGGTGAGCTGCTGGCCTGGATGCCAATGGTAGGCTGCTTGTTGCATGGCACTGGGACCTCGTCTGCTGCCCAACACGCTCTACTACAAGCGCTTCTTCCCCTACTACACCTTCAATGCGCTCGCTGGCCTCGATGCCAATGGTAGGCTGCCCAAACCTTGCTTGCTGCCATGCTGCATGCACCATGCCACATCCCATGCCATGCACTCCATGTTTGCTGCACGCTGCTCTTATCATGGTTGTCTCTTTTTGTGGCTCTCAAAGGCACGTAACGCTTCTCCTCAAATCCCTCACTGCATGCCCTCGTCACCACCTCCCCCTTGGCGCACGCACCACCAGGAGTGGGGTGTGTGTACGGGTACGATGCGGTGGGGTCACACGAGCGCCTGGGGTACGTGGTGCATGGCACGGGGCAGCAGCTCGTGGTGCCCGTGCTCGACTCCCAGCTCAAAGCCGCCAACCCCCTCGTGCTGCCACCCCAGGTGCGCACCGCACCGCACGGCACGGCCATACCTGAAAACAATGTTGAGAATCATCAATCGTGCTGCCGCCGCAGGGGCATGGTTTTCGTGTGCACAGCGCGGCCGCAGGCATGGATGCCCACTTGTGTGCGCGCTTCCCGTGCTTCGCCTTGCCCTCTGCTCTGCTCGTTCGCTGGCGCTCGTAACAACGCTCTCTCAACTCTGGTGTGCGCCTGCGCGTGCGGTCTGCCCTGTGTCTGTGTCTGTGTCTGTGCCTGTGTGTGTGTGCCTGTGTGCCGTGCAGCCACTGGCAACGAAGCTATCACAGGAGGAGGCGGTGGATCTGATCAAGGACACCTTCGCCTCCGCTGCAGAGCGCGACATCTACACCGTGCGTGCCCCCCTGCCCCCCTGTTCCCCTGCCCCCCCTGCCCCACTGCCCCCCTGCCCTGCCCATGCTCCCCTACTCGTTTAGTGAGCCCCTCTGTTGGCTCCGCTGCAGAGCGTGACATCTACACCATGTGTGCCCTGTCTCCCTGCCCATGTTCCCCTGCACCCTTCTGTCAGCCAGTCTGCTGTTTCTCTTTCTCCTCTCCCTTTCTCCCCCTCTCGCCCCCTCCCCCTCCGCTTCCCTATTTTTGTGTCAATGGAAGCTTCATGTGCAATCGGTTCATGCTTTTCTTTTCTCTCCGCATTGCTGATCGCTGCGCACATGTATGGTACGGGTATGTGTGTGTGGGTGGGGCATGCAATGCAGGGCGATGCACTGGAGATTGTGGTGATCGACAAGAGCGGTGTGCGGCGGGAGATCATGGAGCTGCGCAAGGACTAGCACCGCTGCTGCTTGCTGTAGATACACAGTAGAGTTGTCAACTTGTACTGTATACCCTAGCCAAAGTTGAAGAACACACCACACATTGTAATGCAAGAGCACTTGTCCCCTCCAGTTTCTGTGCCAATCAAAGCACCGTGGTTGCCCTGTGTTGGTCCCTTGACTCCAGCTCAAGCGTATGGATGAGCATTGAGTTCAGATGAATGCATCTCCAATGGAGGGCGTCAGCACGGGCTTTCCACAGGCGGTCGCCATGCGCACATGCGCGCGTCACAACAGCCCCACGAGCGCCAGCAGGTTGTTGCCCGCGGGATCCGCCACGTGCTCCACCAAGTTGCGCCACGGCCCGCTCCCCGTCACCACCGCCTGCGCGAAGCACCCCGCGCACGCTGCCATCGCCACGCGCCCGTGCTTCAACTCCGCCGTCCGCAGCGCGCGCGTCTCTTCCTTGGAGCGCCCCAGGCGCGCGAAGTTGAAGAACGGCCCGCCGGGATATGCGGGGCGCTTGGAGCCGCCCAGCAGCCGCTCGAGGCCGAAGAACGGCGTCGTCGCGCCGTAGCCGGGCGCTGCCAGGGCGCGCGACACGGGAGGGAAAGACGGACGGCGTGGGATGAGCTACGCGTGAGGACGTCAAGGGCGCATTGAACATGACTATTCAGGCACGGAAAGCACGACGCCTGACGGCGGAACTGCACGCATGTTTCCTGCGCGGGTGCGACTCACTGTAGTAGTCCTGCGCGCGCCGGTGCTCCGCGAATGCCAGCACCGCCGTCTGCGCCACGAAGATCGCGTAGGGGTCAGCCCAGTAGTCGAACGCGCCGAGCGGCGGAATGACGCCCGATCGGAACCACTCGACGCCCGTGCGCGCGGGGATGACGCCCACATCGCCCATCATCTCCGGCGCGACCATCCCCAGCGCGCCCAACATGGCCCAGCGCGCGTGCACCACCTCCGCGTACGCCAGCCATCGGGGCGACACGAACGCGCCCGCTCCCTCCGGATCCGACAGGCCGAGCGGATCGAACCCGTAGTCGCCTGGCAGGCTGCGACGACGAAACGAAGGTGGCACTTCAGACGTACGTGCGGGAAGAAAGCACTCAGCCAAAAAAGTGCGCACGGAAGCGCGTGGCACGAGGTCCAATGCACAGCAATCTTGTGTCGGCAAGTGGGGACTGACCTTCCGTCGAGGTAAGTTAACGACTGAGATGAAGCTAACCAGGTTGGCCGATCATCCTGCACGGGCGCTTGGCGAGGAAGGGCATTAGGCACCCTGTTTGTGATGCAGCGTGATTCCCAGTCTGTCGCGCATGCAGCCTTACCTTATTCGGGCTTGCTTTGGCGACTATTCTGGCCCCTCTGCATGCTTGGAGTGGAACCCTGCTCGACCTAGAACCGAGCTGCACTGGACGGAGTGTCGCAGCCGTGGTTGCCAGTGTGCTGATTGACGCCATTATTAGCAGCAAGCTTGTGGGTCAGATTCTTGACGATGAGAAATTATAAGAGCGACTGGCACGCTACTACTGGGAAATTGGTTCCAAATTATCAATCAGCTTATTGGAATACTTGAATAAATTAATTTGACATACTGAAATTTGCTCCGTGATTTTCGAATATATTTCGCATTACGTGACATGTACTCCTGGAATATTGGTTCGTTCGTCTCAAATTCCAAAGCATGAGGGGTAGACAGTGCCTTGCACAATTTGAGTTTGTAATTGAAAATCTCACATCTTTACATTTATATTGAGAATAAACAGCTTAGTGCAGCTTGAGGTTGGTGAGGATGTTGTTGTTCACGGGGTCGGCCAAGTGGTCGAGCAGGTTCTGGTACGGGCCCACGCCGGTGATCCACGCCTGGAAGAAGAAGCCGAGAGCAGCCAGCATGGCCAAGCGGGAGTTCCTGACCTCCTTGGTCTTGTAGGTGTGCATCTCCGCCTCGGTCTTGCCCAGGCCAGCGAAGTTGAAGAACGCGCCGCCGGGGTAGATGGGGTCGCCGGAGCCGCCGAGAACCTTCTCAAGTCCCAGCAGGTACTGCTTGGAGCCATAGCCGGGCTCTGCAATTTAAAAAAATAACAAGCGTGAGAACGGAATTATGACGTAACAAACAAGGGGCGTATATCGTACGACGGTGACAACTGTTGGTACAAAATAAGGGAACACTGTTGGTACACAATAAGAGGGTGCTTACTGTAGTAGTCCTGAGCTCTTCTGTGCTCGGCGAAGCCGATCAGGACGATCTCCAGGACGAACAGAGCATAGGGATCGGCCCAGTAGCCGTAGCCGCCAAGAGGGGGGATCACACCGGACTCGAACCACACAATCTTGGGGCCAATGCCGTAGCTGCCGAGGATCTCGGGAGCGATCATGCCGGCAACACCGAGCATAGCCCAGCGGCCGTTGATCAGCTCGCCGTAGGTGAGCCACTTGGGGTCGATGAAGTTGCCAGCACCCTCAGGGTCGGACAGGCCAAGGGGGTCGAAGCCGAAGTCGCCGGGAAGGGTCCCATCGAGGTAGCTCAGGGACTGGGGGGAGGCGAAGTACGTCTGGCGAGTGGGCTGCAATAAACATGCGGGGAATGCGAGGGTGACAATGTCAGCTATACGTTCGTTGCCTACGGAGAAACAAATAACTGCAGGCGATGTGGTTCATAAAGTCGAGCTAAGGTATAACAAGTTTTCACCTTCTCAAGGCTTGCACGAGCAACGAGCCTCTGGCCGCGCACAGCAGTGACGGCAGGGACAGCGGAGCGCAGGGCCTTGCCGGCGACAAGGCGTTGGCGGGTAGCCTCGAGGGCAACCGGCGCGGAGAAGAGGGCACGGGTAGCAATGGCGGCCATGGCGTCAGAGTCCGAGAATGTGGATTCTTGGGTCAGACACAGACAGCACTGCTGAAGGTCGGAGGAGAAAGGGATATCCTGGAGGGGCCGATGGGAGCAGCGAGGTGGGAGGGGAAACGGGGAGTGGTGGGGAGGAGATTGGGGGGGCCACCAGCAGCGAGCCAGTGCTGGATAACGTCGATTCGCCCAGCCAATGGGAGGAGTCGATGGAATGCGAAAACCAATTACTCGCCGCACGTAGGATTCGTTTGACACCACTCGAGCAACCTGCTTGGCATTGACACAATCGCGTGTTTCGGGAAACTGGTGCTCAGGATTGCACCGCACGAAACTGTTACCGAGCGAAAAGTGGACGAAAGCCCTGAGCCCATTTATTGGTGCTTGTTGCTGATTAATAAAATGTACAGAAAAACAAATAAGTAGAACCTTTGTCAAATATATGTTTGTTAATACAGCTTGCCACAATCAATGCGAGCATTTTGTTCAACATAATGCTTCAAAATTTAATATTTGAAGACTGGATTTGAACCCACCTGCTGGTATTATCCGTCCCTAATAATTTATACATCGAGATTTTCACGGCTAGCAATTCACTCAAATAATCCTAACGTAAACCTACATAAAGGGGACAGTTGGATGACTCTGCTGGTAAAACATGTGATTACTTCGCTGACGTACGGTCGCACTGCCTTGAGACCTCATATACGGTACGGTACATGCGTTCGTGCACATCAAGTAATCGTACCGAAATACTCGTACACATATGTTATTGTCGGAGAATGTAGGGGATATGGTATCGTAAAGCTTGTGATTCAGAGGCAGAGCCATGCCTACCAGATTTGTTATGGTGGGTGGTGACACAGTGATTCAAACATCAAGACCATCTGAGGAGACTAAAACTCTAGATCCAACCAAGTTCCAACTAGCAAGAAAACTATTCAGGCATGGCTTTTCTGGTTATAGGTTGTTCACACAAGCAGCGATCCAGCGAGCATCTGTTACCGGTATTATTTATCATCCAAACCGCCAAAACGTGGGGAAAGAGCAAATGCACAAAGCAGCAGCACCATTTCGCATGGCACCATCAACCAGAGACCGTACAAGAAACGATGTGTGGAAGTCACACTGTACAGGAAGCCATGATATGACAGCAATTCTATTATTGTCTTCTTCGCACAACTCTGAACCCCATAGCACCTGCCCACCACGGGTCGCATACCACCCGTATGAAGCATGCCATCCCTATGGCTCACACTGCATCAGATTGCAGCAGGCATCACAACGAGCCATGGTAGTGAAGACAAGCAGCACATCACGAAAACACGAGCAATCCATTCAGCAGGCATGGCGAGAAGGTGATCAGCTCAACAGACACGTGAACCAGCAAGCGAGCACAGCAGGGAGGCGGTCAGGCAAAGACGAGACCCCGGGCAGGGAGGACGGAGGCAATCAGCAGAAGAACATGCCCTTCCTGGGAACAGGCATGACCACCGGCAGCGGCACCACAGGCGGCGCACCCCCCACCCGCGACGACCCACTGGAGCTGCCCGTGCCGCCCGACCCCGCCACCTCGCCGCCCCCTGCCGCCCGCCCCGCCGCCGACCCACTCTCGGACCCGCTCCCCCGCATGCTGCCCGAGATGCCCTCCAGGTAGAGGCGCGCCCGCGTGGCCGCCAGGTCAGCGTAGTAGGCGGGCGGCACGAGGGAGACGGAGCGGGTGCAACGCGCGTAGGTGTAGCAGAGGGAGTAGCAGAGCGCCTGCATGCTGTCGGCTGTGAAGCTGTTCTCGTCCCACAACACCCGGTAGTGCGTCGGGCGCGACGTGCCCTGGGGGTGAGGGGAATGAGGGGTGGGGAAGGGGAGGGATGATGGTTGGGAGAGGGGGGGGGCAATTGAAGGCTTGATTCAATGGAGGTGGAACGGATGACAAGGATAGAGAAAGGCAAGAGGGGAATCAGGCAGGTTGAGTGGGTTGGACATGCAGCAGAGCAAGGGCGAAGCGTGGAGCAGAGGAAGGGGTGTTGCATGCGGCAAACGGTGGAGCAAGATAAATGATAAGAGGGCTGCGGTACGGACCTGGATGGATGCATGCGAGTTGAGGAAGAAGTCAAACTCGCGTGGGTGGCAGATGACCGAGTCCACCACGGTGCCCGGCACGGGAGGGCGGGGGAACAGGGGGTGAGGAGGGCAAGAGGGCAGAGGCAGAGGCAGGGGTACCGACCTGGATGGAGGCGTGGGAGTTGAGGAAGAAGTCAAACTCCCTCGGGTGGCAGATGACCGAGTCCACCACGGTGCCGGGCATCACGTTGCCGTTCTTGTCGCGATTGTTGTCCGCCGGGAACAGGCGCGTGTGGTGCCGCTTCTGCACCACCACGTAGGTGATGCGCGGACTGTAGCTGCCTGTGGGGTCCATGGCCCGGCACGGCACGCCATCCTTACTGCCTCCAGCTCGTATGCCAGCACCTGGTGGAGGTTGGGAGGGGAGAGGGGTGGAATGTGGTGAAACAGGCATGTCATGTGTCGCTCGCACTGCCTCCAGCTCGAACGCCAGCACCGGCAGATGGGCAGGGCGAGCAGCAACAGGTAGTTTGTGTGGTGCCGCTTCTGCACCCCGAGGGGTCCATGGCCCGACAATCGCTGCTTTCAGTGCTTCCAGCTCGTATGCCAGCACCTGGAGAGGGATGTTAAGAGGGGGGAGGAGACTGACTGGGGTGGAGGGTGGTAGAGTGTGGTGATGCGGGCAGGTCATGTGTCGCACCCATGCACTGCTGGTATGTGGGTCACAGGGAACTCACACAACCACTGTGCATGAGTCAACTCACACCCATTACATCGACCCGCAAATAAAGACAACATGTATGGAGAGTACCAGACACCACCGCACTGCACGCACCTGGTAGAACTGCCCTTCACTGACACCATCCCGGAAGAAGATGATGCGTTCGGGCTTGCGCTTGGCTGTCTGATAGAACTCCAGCCCGCCCTGCTTGCACCCACCGCACAGCATCGCACTGGACCGCACTGTACCGCACTGGACCGCACTGGACTGCACTGGACTGCACTGTACTGCTCTGAACATACCTGGTAGAACTGCCCCTCGCTGACACCATCCCGGAAGAAGATAATGCGCTCGGGCTTGCGCTTGGCGGTCTGATAGAACTCCATCAGCAGATCCCTCACCAGCCCACCCGCCTGCATGCTGCCGTCCGCCCCGCGCCGCTCCTCATGCAGCCCCTCTATTATCTCCTGCCGGTGCGTGCGCAGCAGACAGCCATAGTGGTTCGCACACGGCCAGTCCTGAGGGGGGAGGAGGGGCGGGAGGGATGGGTTGTGTGGAGACGATTTTTAGGCGCTTCGAGAATTGTCCGCTGCGCAGCAGACAGCCGTACAGGTTTGCACAGGGCCAGTTGTGAGGAGGGGAGGAAGGGGGAGAGTTTGCAGCAATGAGAAGCGGGAAGGCACCCCATGACCTTCTGATTCGACTCAATACTCCCCTCTCCCACCCCCTTCGCTTCCCCTCCCCTCACCCCCCAACTCACCCTGGAGGCCACAACAGCAGCGATGGAGGGGGACGAGTCATCCCCCGGGCTGGGGTGCGTGACATCGGCGCCGAACACAATGGTGGGACGCTCAGCCACCAAATAGTCCCCTCCCCCCATCTCTTCCCCCCCCCCCCCCTCCACCCAACCCACCCGAGAGGCAACAACAGCAGCAATCGAAGGAGAAGAGTCGTCCCCCGGGCTGGGGTGCGTCACATCGGCGCCGAACACAATGGTGGGACGCTCAGCCAGCACATTGCGGCCTCTCGGCCAACTCAACAGTCCACAGCAGCACTCACCCTGGAGGCCACAACAGCAGAGATGGAAGGAGAAGAATCGTCCCCCGGGCTGGGGTGCGTCACATCGGCGCCAAACACAATGGTGAGGCGTTCGGCCACCATGGGCAGGCGACCTATGGACTCCCTTCCCCTCCCCTCTCTCTTTCCCTCTCCTACCCTCCCCCAACCTACCCGCGAGGCGACGACAGCAGCAATGGAAGGCGAAGAATCATCTCCCGGGCTGGGATGGGTCACATCAGCGCCAAACACAATGGTGGGGCGCTCAACCACCATGGGGAGGCGACCGATGCTCTCCGACTGCAGCAGCACGTTGCGGCCTCCCAGCTTCACGTTGATCTTCAGCACCAGGTTCGCCAGGTACTGCGACTGGCACCTGGGAGGGGGTGAGGTGTGAGAGGGTGGTGATGCAGAGGGGTGGAGTCGACTTGAAACACTGCAGCAGCACGTTGCGTCCGCCCAGCTTCACGTTGATCTTGAGCACCAGGTTGGCCAGGTACTGTGACTGGCACCTGCGGGAGGGGGGGATGTGGGGAGAAACAGGGTAGAGGGTGGAGAGAGAGGGTGGTGATGATGCGACCGATGGACTCCGACTGCAGCAGCACGTTACGCCCCCCTAGCTTCACGTTGATCTTCAACACCAGGTTCGCCAGGTACTGCGACTGGCACCTGGTGGGGAGGGGAGGGGGAAAAGGGGGACAGGGGCGAAACAGCGGACGCGGGGGAAAGGGTGGAGAGGGAGCGTAAGGGGATGGGGATTGCAGCAGCACGTTGCGGCCGCCCAGCTTCAAGTTGATCTTCAACACCAGATTCGCCAGGTACTGTGACTGGCACCTGGGGGTCATGGGAGAGAGAGAGCGGTGGAGGGGGAAAGGGTGTAAGGGTAGGGGAAAAGGGAGGGTGGTGACGCGAGAGGGCAGGGTGGTGATGCGAGAGGGCAGGGTGGTGATGCGAGAGGGCAGGGTGGTGATGCGAGAGGGCAGGGTGGTGATGCGAGAGGGCAGGGTGGTGATGCGAGAGGGCAGGGTGGTGATGCGAGAGGGCAGGGTGGTGATGCGAGAGGGCAGGGTGGTGATGCGAGAGGGCAGGGTGGTGATGCGAGAGGGCAGGGTGGTGATGCGAGAGGGCAGCGTGGTGATGCGAGAGGGCAGGGTGGTGATGCGAGAGGGCAGGGTGGTGATGCGAGAGGGCAGCGTGGTGATGCGAGAGGGCAGGGTGGTGATGCGAGAGGGCAGGGTGGTGATGCGAGAGGGCAGCGTGGTGATGCGAGAGGGCAGCGTGGTGATGCGAGAGGGTATGGAGAACACAGGAGGGTTGCTCATGCCATGCAAGGGGTCATGAGGCACACTCACGTGTTGATGCCACCCCAGCACAACCCCCCCACACTCACTTCTGGGCGTGGTTCACGAGGCAGCACTGGGTGACCACGTTGAGCTGCGTCTCCGCAATCAGCTTGATCTCGTTGTAGAACGTGCCATGCCACCACCAATTCCCCTCACTCACTTCTGAGCGAGCGTGGATAGACACAAACACTTGTACACTTGTACGGTTCGCGAGACAGCACTCACTTCTGAGCGTGGTTGACAAGGCAGCACTGGGTAACCACATTGAGCTGCGTCTCAGCAATGAGCTTTATCTCGTTGTAGAACGTGCCATGCCATGCCACCACCAACTCCCCTGTCCCACTTGTGGGCATGGCTCACAAGGCACACTCACTCACTTCTGGGCATGGTTCACGAGGCAGCATGCCTTTAAGAGCGTCGACTTCTAAGAGCGTCGACTCGCCTCTAAGAGTGTCGACTCGCCTCTAAGAGCGTCGACTCGCCTCTAAGACCGTCAACTCGCCTATAAGAGCGTCGACTCGCCTTTAAGAGCATACACTCGCCTCTAAGAGCGTCGACTCGCCCGTTCAAAGGGGTGGGGGCGGCGCGTTTGTGCGCGTTTGGAGCCAAGACACATGCAAGGTGGGAGGGGGTGTGGCGAGCACGAGTGTGAGAAAAAACCCCCGGCTGATTCGCATTTTTTCTACACCGGTCCCGACGCATTCCCGTTGTGCCCCAGAAATGGCCCCGAACGCCCAGTATGGGCCCGTTCAAACGGGTGGGGGCGGCGCGTTTGTGCGCGTTTGGAGCCGAGACCAAATGCAAGGTGGGAGGGGGTGTGGCGATCACGAGCGCGAGCAAAAATCCCCGGCTGATTCGCAATTTTTCTACACCGGTCCCGACGCATTCGCGTTTTGCCCCATAAATGGCCCCGAACGCCCAGTATGGGCCCGTTCAAAGGGGTGGGGGCGGCGCGTTTGTGCACGTTTGGAGCCGAGACCACATGCAAGGTGGGAAGGGGTGTGGCGAGTACGAGCGTGACCAAAAACCCCCTGATGATTTGCAATTTTTCTACATCGGTCCCGACGCATTCGCGTTTTGCCCCAGAAATGGCCCCGAACGCCCAGTATGGGCCCGTTCAAAGGGGTGGGGGCGGCGCGTTTGTGCGCGTTTGGAGCCGAGACCACATGCAAGGTTTGAGGGGGTGTGGCGAGCACGAGAGTGAGCAAAAAGCCTCGGCTGATTCGCAATTTTTCTAAACAGGTGGGGACGCATTCGCGTTTTGCCCTAGAAATGGCCCCGAACGCCCAGTATGGGCCTGTTCAAAGGGGTGGGGGCGGCGAGTTTGTGCGCGTTTGGAGCCGAGACCATATGCAAGGCGGGAGGGGGTGTGGCGAGCACGAGCGTGACCAAAAACTCCCGGCTGATTCGCAAATTTTCTACACCGGTCCCGATGCATTCGCGTTTTGCCCCAGAAATGACCCCGAGCGCCCAGTATGGGCCCGTTCAAAGGGGTGGGGGCGGCACGTTTGTGCGCGTTTGGAGCCGAGACCACATGCAAGGTGGGAGGGGGTGTGGCGAGCATGAGCGTGAGCAAAAACTCCCAGCTGATTCACAAAATTTCTAAACCGGCGGGGACGCATTCGCGTTTTGCCGCAGAAATGGCCCCTAGCGCCCAGTATGGGCCCGTTCAAAGGGGTAGGGCGGCGCGTTTGTGCGCGTTTGGAGCCGAGACCACATGCAAGGTGGGAGGGGGTGTGGCGAGCACGAGCGTGACCAAAAACCCCCGGCTGATTCGCAATTTTTCTACCCCAGTCCCGACGCATTCGCGTTTTGCCCCAGAAATGGCCCCGAACGCCCAGTATGGGCCCGTTCAAAGGGGTGGGGGCGACGCGTTTGTGCGCGTTTGGAGCCGAGACCACATGCAAGGTGGGAGGGGGTGTGGCGAGCAAGAGCCTGCACAAAAAAAACCTCCGGCTGATTACCACTACCATTACTACTACCATTACAATTACCATTACGATTACCACTACCCCACTACCATTACCACTACCATTACAATTACCATTACGATTACCACTACCATTACCATTACCATTACCATTACCATTACCACTACCACTACCACTATCATTACCATTACCATTATCATTACCATTACCATTACCATTATAGTTACCATTACCACTACCATTACCATTACCATTACCACTACCAATGCCATTACCATTACCATTACCACTGCCATTACCATTACCATTACCATTACCATTACCACTACCATTACCATTACCATTTCCATTACAATTTCCTTTACCATTACCAGTACCACTACCGTATTACCCTGGATAGTAGCGCATATGGGCTTATAATAAAATCAGTTTTTTTAAGGGGGGCGCTTGTAATTGAATATCGGCCATAAGCGCCGGCGCTTATATAATGACAAATACAAAAATACAACTTAAACGCACCAAATTGTACAATTCAGTCTCGTAAGTTGCATCGAATCGAAAATTTACAGGGTCCAGAATCGAAATCACGCGAGGGCGATTCTCTGACGGTGCACAGAGCTTTGGCACGTCATTTTGCCCGCGTGCCAGCTCATACTAACTGGACGCGCAACCAGTAGGTCCTCGAAAGTCAAACAAAGTGAAAATGGGGTGTTGACTCGCTAGAAAATTGAAATTCGTTACTGTTTTAATCAGGATTGAAGATTAAAATTCGCATGCGCTTATAATATATCAGGGTTTTACAGAGGGGGCGCTTATAATCGAATTTCGGCCATAAGCGTCATGCTCCAGATAGAAGCGCCGGCACCTTTAATCGGACGGCGCCTATATCCGGAGCCATACCGTATCATTACCATTACCATTGTTATTACCATTACCATTACCACTACCATTACCATTACGATTACGATTACGATTACCATTACCATTACCATTACCATTACCACTGCCACTGCCATTACCAGTACTATTACCATTACCATTACCGCTACCACGAATCATGATCATTACCATTACCATTACCATTACCATTACCATTACCATTACTACTACCATTACCATTACCATTACCAATACCATTACCATTACCATTACTATTACCATTACCACCACTACCACTATCATTACCATTACCATTACCATTACCATTACCATTATCATTGCCACTACCATTACCATTACCATTACCATTACCATTACCATTACCATTATCATTATCATTACCATTACCATTACCACTATCATTAATATTACCACTACCATTACCATTACCATTACCATTATCATTACCATTATAATTACCACTACCATTACCATTACCACTACCATTACCATTACGATTATCATTACCATTACAATTACCATTACCATTACCATTACCACTACCATTACCACTAGCAACTCAGCTGAGGGTGCTAGCAACGCAGCTGAGGGTGCGAACAACACAGCTGAGGGTGCGAGCGACGCAGCTGATGGTGCTAGCAACGCAGCTGAGGGTGCTAGCAACGCAGCTGAGGGTGCTTGCAACGCAGCTGAGGGTGCGAGCAATGCAGCTGAGGTGCTAGCAATGCAGCTTAGGGTGCGAGCAACAAAGCTGAGGGTGCTTGCAACGCAGCTGAGGGTACTAGCAATGCAGCTGAGGGTTCGAGCAACGCAGCTGAGGGTGCTAGCAACGCAGCTGAGGGTGCTAGCAACGCACCTGAGGGTGCTAGTAACGTAGCTGAGGGTGCTAACAACGCAGGTGAGGGTGCTAGCAACGCAGCTGAGGGTGCTAGCAACGCAGCTGAGGGTGCTAGCAACGCAGCTGAGGGTGCTAGCAACGCAGCTGAGGGTGCTAGCAACACAGCTGAGGGTGCGAGCAACGCAGCTGAGGGTGCAAGCAACGCAGCTGAGCGTGCTAGCAAAGCAGCTGAGGGTGCTAGCTACGCAGCTGAGGGTGCTAGCAACGCAGCTGAGGGTGGGAGCAACGCATCTGAGGGTGCTAGCAACGCAGTTGAGGGTGCGAGCTACGCAGCTGAGGGTGCTAGCAACGCAGCTGAGGGTGCTAACAACGCAGCTGAGGGTGCGAGCAGCGCAGCTGAGGGTGCTAGCAACACAGCTGAGGGTGCGAGCAACGCAGCTAAGGGTGCTAGCAACGCAGCTGAGGGTGCTAGCAACGCAGCTGAGGGTGCTAGCGATGCAGCTGAAGGTGCGAGCAACGCAGCTGAGGGTGCTAGCAACGCAGCTGAGGGTGCTAACAACGCAGCTGAGGGTGCTAGCAACGCAGTTGAGGGTGCTTGCGACGCAGCTGAGGGTGGGAGCAACGCAGCTGAGGGTGCTAGCAACGCAGCTAAGGGTGCTAGCAACGCAGCTGAGGGTGCTAGCAACGCAGCTGAGGGTGCTAACAACGCAGCTGAGGGTGCGAGCAGCGCAGCTGAGGGTGCTAGCAACACAGCTGAGGGTGCTAGCAACGCAGCTAAGGGTGCTAGCAACGCAGCTGAGGGTGCTAGCAACGCAGCTGAGGGTGCTAACAACGCAGCTGAGGGTGCGAGCAGCGCAGCTGAGGGTGCTAGCAACACAGCTGAGGGTGCTTGCAACGCAGCTAAGGGTGCTAGCAACGCAGCTGAGGGTGCTAGCAATGCAGCTGAGGGTGCTAGCAACGCAGCTGAGGGTGCGAACAACGTAGCTGAGGGTGCGAGCAACGCAGCTGAGGGTGCTAGCAACGCAGCTGAGGGTGCTAGCAACGCAGCTGAGGGTGCGAGCAACGCAGCTGAGGGTGCGAGCAACGCAGCTGAGGGTGCTAGCAACGCAGCTGAGGGTGGGAGCAACGCAGCTGAGGGTGCGAGCAACGCAGCTGAGGGTGCTAGCAACGCAGCTGAGGGTGCTAGCAACGCAGCTGAGGGTGCTAGCAACGCAGCTGAATGTGCGAGCAACTCAGCTGAAGGTGCTAGCAACGCAGCTGAGGGTGTGCGCAACGCAGATGAGGGTGCTAGCAACACAGCTGAGGGTGTG